CACTAGAGTATAAATATGCATTTTAATAGAAAAATTTCTACGAAAAATATTTTCCAGCTAGTCTGAAAATGTTTTTAAATTATTAAGAGATTAATTTATTTACTAAGAGAAAATTGATCATGTTCATGTAATATATTATAATAATAATATAAAAAAACGTAACGCATAAGAAGTTTCCGTCCAATAAAAATAATCACAATCGACCAAAGCAATCAATCGTAATTATTATATAAATATGTTTTTGTGCATTTATGAAATTTAACAAAATTGTTAGTTTTTCTATAAATAAATCGGTTCAACAATTATCCGTGCGAATTAATTATGCAAAATTTACGTATGCATTGCACACATTGTCGTGTTGTTAAACATTTATGCAGTCACTGTATTATACTAATATATATAATTTCTTTCAATATGATCAATGATTAAAATCAATTTTCAGTTTAGAATTATATTACATAAAATGCGATGTAAAATTGATTGAAGCCGAGCAAGATTTTTTTTTTTTTTTAATTTAAAGAAGCTTGTAAAATGCAATTCAGACGAGAAAATAGGTTTCGATATAGCTTTTAGCTCGATCTTAACAAGTTTCCTTCTACCATGTTTTCCATTATCGTGTCATTTGAGTCATTTCATCAAAGACAGATCTGATTCAAGATACATCCAAGATACAACAATTTATTAAATCGTTCCAATGTGAAATAAAAAATGGTCGATAAAATATTGTTACATTATTTATTTAGAGAGATATCAAGATATTTATTTGTTAGAGATATATTAGAAAATATCGAGAAATAAATGATATTTGAGAATGAGATTAATATAAAAAAAAAGTGACTCAAAGTGTTAAAAAATTCGAGCGATTTGTTAAATGTTTTTATACGTATAAGTTTCACAAATACATTTGTGATTATACATTTGTTATTATAATTGCAATAATCAACTTGCTTAATTTTCTTGCTACAATTTAGAAAGTGAAACTTGTTGACTTAGTCTTAAGAGATGTAAGAAACATTTAACTGTTAAGGAATAAATAATAAACAATGAATAATTAATCGAAAGGATATTTGTCATTAAAAATTCATCGACGAATTGTAGAAAAAAAATAAAAATATCTGAAGATAATAGATTAAGGTTTTAATCAAACGAGTAATTAAGCTATCCTTATTTATTTATCGTATAATTTTTACAAAATTATTAACTTTTGAACGATGGAAGATTAAATAATATATATATAAAAAAAAACTTGGAATGAAAAGTACATATCGTTAATTAATTAATCAGTAAACACAATTTTTTTCGTTGAAATACATTTTCCTTTAGATGCATTCTCTTCTCCAAAAAAATTATCGAGTAAGTATAAAAGTTTATATCTTTCATATTTTCCCATCACTCCTTCGTTACGATCAAAATATATTTATTCAAGTCTTTCTGTTTAATTATCCTCACCGATTAAATTGTTAAAAATTGTATCCAATTTTTTATTTTCATTTACATATATATTTATGAAAAACTCTTATGCGATATACATCTAATTTATATGCAACGTGTAATTAATACACGTGATATCTCGTATAATTTGACATATCAAACTTAATTAATTAAACTTTTCTTATCGACAACTTTTTTTTTCAGTAACTTGTTTTGTGTTTTAATGCTTTTGTTATTCAATTTAAATTTATATATATATATATTTTTTTATTTATTCAAAAATCGTGCACGCTTATTATAACTTCATTAAAAAGCATTTATTACGTTATGACCGTTTTTAGTTCGAGGTCCATGGTTCGAGTTGATATTAAATCTGACATTTTGCAATAAATTAAGTGACAACGTTATATTCTGTTATATTCTGCTGCTATGTTTATCCTTTGTTATTCACTTAATTAATTATATTGATGTCAAAGTGATTTTAAAATTAAAAATATATGTATCTTCTGTAATATTCCTCCGGAAATACGTAAATCAAATGCAATATTAATATTGAATGATGATGAAAAGAAATATAATAAATAAAATCGAAATAAACTGTGTTTACTGATACGTTTATCGTTTTAACGAATGCTCCTTTCATCTACATTACAAACTTTTGTAATTTCATCTCAATTATCATTTCGAGAAACCGAAGGTTTTGTCTAACTGTGATAGTAATAAATTAGACTGCGGATTTTTATACAGCTAAAACGTGTTCAAACAAAAATTCAATTAGCATTATGTCATATACATCATTAAAACGCATTTAGAATATGGATGTAATCCTCAAAATCATTTTTTGATTCATCTCGATATCTCAATCGATCATCAAGATATAAAGGTTAGTATTTTCCTTTGTATACTTAAGATTGTGCATAATTCATGAATGGATCTCCATTGACCTACTTTATTTCTTGGAAATGCGTACTACGCTTTTCCAGGAATCGCGTCTGTTACTTGTCTGGATACTTTAGGATAAGTCAATGAGATAAAGCGCGAGCGAGAGATTCGAATAAGCAATAAGAGCAGAAATAGTAATAAAATTACGTAATAAGAGTAATTTTACGTAACAATAAAAGTTACACTTCTCTTTATACAGAAAAAATCACAAAAACCAAGAATCGAGACGAATGAAACGACATTTTAAAGGGGAAGATTTTGCGTTTCCAATAATCGTTCACTTGTCGACCAGAAGTCATTATCTTCGGAGTGATAACGGTTCAAAGTTTTCTTAATTTATACATAATCGTTTATATGATGAGTAATTAAAAATCTTTTCTTTAGACTTTTCCTAGATGGTATCTAGGGAATCGGAAATCGTGTCGACATAAATCAAAAGTGCTTTTAAAGAGGAAAGTTCCATTCTTCCCACGATTATTCATTCGTTGATGGGAAATTAGATTCGGAATTATAGCCGTTCAAAATTTTAAAACGGTTTTATCAAGCTTCAAGCTTAAGTTAAGACAATTTTGCTCAAAGATATTTTAATCGCTTTTCAATAAATTAAAAGACAAAATCTAAGACATAAATAGTTTAATACAACATATAATAAAGTTTAATAAAACATATAAATAGTTTAATATCTGTACTCATGTCGCTTATGCAAAACATGTTATATAATTCATATGCATTTGCATAAAAATCCGTAGTCTAATAAGTAATATAGCAATAAAAAGATTCATTTCACTAATTTCTTATTGTAAATTAAATATACATAATAAGAATTCATAGAAAACAATACATTATGTAAATAGAGAATATATACTAATAATTGAAGATATCAATAAATGTTTTAATGAAAAAATCTATTCATAATAATGGAAGTGATACAACAACAAAATATTCATATGTATATTATATACTATCACTATTTCTGCAAATTGGGATTATATAAAATACATTCGTATAATATTCGTTAAAACTCTAATAAACAATTACATAATTGTGAAACTTTATATATATACATATATATATTTACTATTAACTTTATATATACATGTACAATAAAAATACAACATATTATGTAGAGTCAACCAATGAAACATTTAATAAATTTCTAAAAATGTATAATAATTATTTCCAACCATATTCTATTATATCTTATATCATATATATTATATATTATTTATAGAGATAAAATATCTGCCAGAGATAAAATATCAGTAAGTAAATAATTAATATTTCTATGTTTTTGCATATCGTCTCTATAATTTTTATACAAAATTAATGTTTTTAAATATAATATATATGATTTTACATATGTTCTCAGATTTCTAAGGTCTGCAAACCACAATTGTACATGCGAAACCCATGCAATTCTAATAGCATTTACAGGTAAGTATAAGAGGTAAGTATAAATTAGATATAAGGAAACAGTAAAAAAAAAAAAAAACATATTACATACGCAATGGTGAAAAAAGGTAAGTAATACAGGTAAGTACAGGTAAGTATAGGTAAGTATGTAAAATTTAAAATAAAATATAATAATAATTTAAACATTACAAGTGCCACCTCCTGGAGAATTATACTCTCCTAATCAAAAGTCGAAAATTTAGACAGAATTTGTCAGAGAAACAATTCTTCTAAGAATTTGGCTTGCCACCTCCTGTAGAATTATATTCTCCTAATGAAAAGTCGAAAATTTAGCCAGAATTTATCAGAGGAACAATTCTTCTGAAAATTTGACGTGCCACCTCCTGTAGAATTATATTCTCCTAATGAAAAGTCGAAAATTTAGCCAGAATTTATCAGAGGAACAATTCTTCTGAAAATTTGACGTGCCACCTCCTGTAGAATTATATTCTCCTAATGAAAAGTCGAAATTTTGGCCAGAATTTGCCAGAGAAACAATTCTTCTAAAAATTTGGCGTGCCACTTCCTGTAGAATTATATTCTCCTAATGAAAAGTCGAAAATTTAGCCAGAATTTGCCAGAGAAATAATTCTTCTAAAAATTAGGCGTGCCACCTCCTGTAGAATTATATTCTCCTAATGAAAAGTCGAAAATTTAGCCAGAATTTGCCAGAGAAAT